CCAGAGGGGGTAAACTGAAGGCAGGGAGGAGTCCGGAACTGGGCAGGGTTACACAGCAGTGAGGCAGTATGGGAAGCCTCTGGCGCCCCACCCGCCGGCTCTGGAGTCGGAGGTGTCCAGAGCTGCCGGGGGAAGGGTGGGCAGAAGGTTGGCAAGACCAGGGGCTGGGCCCACTCGGCCCTGGGTGGAGCCCTGGACCCTGGGAGCCCAGGTAACAGGGTTCAGATCCCCGGCGGCCATGTGAGTTCTCTTCTCGGAGCCTCCATTTTCTCATCTGTAAAATGGGAAAATGTGGCTTCTGTCGCAGGGTTTTGGGAGACTGCGATGGAGGCCTGTGTGTGCAGGTCTGGGCACACAGTAGGTACTCAATAAGTGTCAGTTCCTCTCCCTCCCATCTCCTAGGGAGCGGAGGCTCCTGTCTTTCTCCTGGACTGGGGCTGTTGTCTTCTGCCGAAGGCTAGGGGCCGGCAGAGCGTCTGAGTCAGATTCTGAGTTTGCCGGGCTCTGAGCCGGTTCCTGCCTTCTCTGGGCCTCAGGGCTCTCACTTGGGGGACAGAATTACCTCCCTCGCCTTATAGGGCTGCTGAGAAGGTGGAATGGAGGGAAGCCTGAGCCTGTAAGAAGGTGATTCTTACGCAAGGAAGACCACTTCCGGCACCTGCTGACCTCGCAGGAACTGTGGGGAGAGAGGGGGTTGGGGCCCCTCTGACTCTGCCCCCCCGGCGCAGGCATGGGAGTGGCGAAGCGGGCCAGGCTTCAGGCAGAGGCGGGAGGTTGGGAGGTGCTGGAAGGACAGTGGAAGAAGGAATCCAATCTCGGGCCCGTTGGCCTGGGTTTGAATCCTGGCCCTACAGATTACCGGCTGGAGGCCACAGACAAGTCACTGGACCTCTCTGAGCCTCGCTTTCCTCATCTGTGAAGTGGGGGTGGGAGTATTCAGAATAGTCCCTTTGCTGGGTTTGGGAGGATCGTCGGGAAGGTGTGGGTGGCACGGATGGCATGCGGTCAGGGTACACAAAGGTCCCTGCCCTTCTCCCCCTTCTTTTTGGGGTCACTGGATAGGGTGGAGGTGGGGAGGGAGGGGGTGACTGTGATGCTAATGGCAGCATGGGAGGCAAGATGGTGGGGCCGTGAGAGATGTTTAGGACCAGAATTGAGGGGTTGGGGACGGCTGTGGGTTAGCATTGGCCTCCAAAGTGCGGTGATACCCGAGGTGACCGCTGGGACCTCAGGAGGACAGTATTAGAATTTCCAAACTTTTTCACTATATCCTTTATTAACTTCTGGATGTGTGTGTGTGTGTGTGTGTGTGTGTGTGTGTGTGTGTGTTTTACGATGTTCGTGGTAACCAGAACAGTGGCACGTGCATTCGGTTTTGAAATGAAGAAATAGGGGCACCTGGGTGGCTCAGTCGGTTAAGCGTCCGACTTCAGCTCAGGTCACGATCTCGCGGTCCGTGAGTTTGAGCCCCGCGTCGGGCTCTGGGCTGATGGCTCGGAGCCTGGAGCCTGCTTCCGATTCTGTGTCTCCCCCTCTCTCTGCCCCTCCCCCGTTCATGCTCTGTCTCTCTCTCTGTCTCAAAAATAAATAAACGTTTAAAAAAAATTGAAATGAAGAAATACAGAGGAGTGTGTTCAAAGGGTTTTACTGACACAGGTGCATGGTCAAAATATCTGCACCCCCTGGGGTACTGGCTAGCAGGGGTGCTGAGGTGCTTTGGGGAGTGGGGTGTGCGCGAAGGAATCAGGAGAGCACTGGGAGACTTGGACTCCAGTCTCCACTCTGTCCCCAACTTGCTGTATGTCCTTGGGCAAGCCACCTAACCTCTCTGAGCTTCCAAAACAAGCAGAGGGGAGCTTATAAAATGAGTGGGCAGAGGCTCTTTCCAGCAACGGGAGGTTGGGATTGTCTGGTTCTGAGCTTCGTTTGGGACTTCCAGAGTCTTCTCTTGCCACACCTGGTAGATACCCATGTGCCCTTCTAAGCCCAGCTGCGTCTTATCTGTGCTCTGCTTGCACACCCCCAGGGACGGGGAGCTCACCACCTCGCAGGGTGCTCTGTTCCGTCCCGGATGGAGCTGTCATCTACCTCGCTTCCTCCTTCCCTCCTTAAAGGTGAACTTGAGGGGTGGAGGGTGCGAGGGGCTGGAACCCCAGCTTTTAGGGGCTGAGGAAGCAGCTCTTTTCTCTTGGGGCCGTTTCCTGTGGGTGCCAGCCGCAGCTCTCACAGCATCTGCCTTCCGCTCGGGGCTGCTCTCAGCCTTTCTGGGGAAACAGAGCCTTTTTTTTGGCTCAGCTTGCACCAGGTAGAAGGGCAGCTAGAACAAGCTTGCTGTCTACCCCCTGGCACCCTGGTCTTGGTACCGCTGCAGCACCTCATGTAAGCTCACCTCAGCCAAAAGCAGATTGTGTTTGCTGAGCCCCCACTGCAGGTTCCAGGCTCAGTGCTTTGCAAATACAATACTATTCCGCACTGAATCCAGTGGTTGCCAGTTTCCAGACGAGAAGGCTCAGAGAGGTGAAATGACTTGCCCAAGGCCACGTATTGAGCTGGATTGAAATCCACCTCTGTCTGACCTGGAGCTCAGCAATTCATCACTCCTCTGGGCTGTCCCTTTGTGCCCCCCCTGAACAGAATGTAACATGGCAGGAAGTTGAGACCTGTGTCTGAGCTAAAGCAAAGCAAAGCAAAACAAAAACAAAAACAAAAAAACCCAAACCCACATAATCGGCAGGGGGGAAACAGGTGGTGCGTGTTTGGTTGCCTGTCAGCTGAGCATGAGTTACTTAGTGCAGGGCCACCCAGAAAGCCTGTGTAAACTCACGCCATATTACTAGAGGTAGGGCAACCACTACAAGGAAGGAGATGGTCTTGTGATTCTCAATGTGGGCGGACGGTGCCTGGAGACTTGTGTGTAGAGGTGGGGAAGAGCAGAAGGCTTGCTGCAAGAACACGGACGTACAGAAGACTGAGTTCCCTTGGGTGGAAGTATTTAAATAGAGGCCGCATGGCACAGGACTCCCACATTGGATGGCGGAGGGCATGGGCAAGGTGACATTCAAGGTCCTTTCAAACTACAGTTTTGTGGCTGGACTTCAACTGTCACCAGGGCCACAACACTCAGGCCCATAAGATTTGGATGGGGTTTGTTCATTTGTCTGTCTGTCCATCTGTGTGTCCATCCATCTATCCATCATCCATCTATCCATCATCCATCCATCCATTCATCCATCATCCATCTATCCATCCACCCATCCATCCACCATCCATCCATCTATCCATCCACCCATCCATCCATCATCCATCCATCCATCCATCCATCCATCCATCATCCATCCATCATCCATCTATCCATCCATCATCCATCCATCCATCCATCCATCCATCATCCATCCATCCATCTATCCATCCATCATCCATCCATCCATCCATCATCCATCCATCATCCAATTATCCATCCATCATCCATCCATCCATCCATCCATCCATCCATCATCCATCCATCATCCAATTATCCATCCATCATCCATCCATCCATCCATCCATCCATCCATCATCCATCCATCTATCCATAATCCATCCATCCATCCATCATCCATCTATCCATCCATCAAACATCCATCCACCCATCCATCCATCATCCATCCATCATCCATCCATCTATCCATCCATCAATCCATCCATCATCCATCCATCTATCCATCATCCATCCATCCATCCATCCATCATCCATCTATCCATCCATCAAACATCCATCCACCCATCATCCATCCTTCATCCATCCATCCATCTATCCATCTATCCATCCATCTAACCATCCATCTAACCATCCATCTATCCATCCATCATCCATCCATCTATCCATCATCCATCCATCTATCCATCCATCAGCCATCCATCCATCCATCCATCATTCATCCATCCATCCATCCATCCATCTATCCATCCATCATCCATCCATCTATCCATCATCCATCCATCCATCCATCCATCTATCCATCATCCATCCATCCATCCATCTATCCATCAGCCATCCATCCATCTATCCGTCATCCATCCATCCATCATCCATCCATCCATCCATCCATCCGTCTATCCATCATCCATCCATCCATCCATCCATCCATCATCCATCTATCCATCCATCATCCATCCATCCACCCATCCACCCATCCACCCATCATCCATCCATCCATCCATCCATCCATCCAATACAATAGCTAGAGCAGTGAGCAAGAGAGACACAAGCCTTCCCTGCCTGGAACCTTCAGTCCAGTGGGAATAATAGCAATAATAATAGCAAGCATAGGTGCTTCAAGTGAATTATTCCATCTGGCTCCACTACAACTGTATGAAGCAGGCATTATTTTCCCCAGTTTGCAGATGGAGAAATTGAGGGCACCTGGGGATTGGTATTGACAGGGCTCCCCAGGGATTCATGGATCAGGTGCTCCCAGGCCTGTGTTGAGAATTCCAAGAGCTTGAAGCTTTATGATGCTCAGATGCCATGACTAAGATCCCATAATGTCCAGAGCCTGTTATAAAAGAAGGTGCAGAAGAGGGGCCAGTCACTGGCGGGAGCCCTCAGAGCCTCCCCCCCCACCCCCCGCCACCAACCTTGACCTTCAATAGTCATAGTTACTGTTTTATCAAGAACCAGGCATGGTTCTAAGTGCTCTCCTGGGATGCTCTGACTTATTCCTCACGATAACCTTAGGTAGCTACTAGCGCTATCCTTATTTACAGATGGGAAATTGAGGCACAGAGAGGCTGTGTAACTAGCCCAAGCTCACACAGCTGGGAAAAGGAAGGAGGAGGACTATGGGCTTGAGCCGTCTTATCTGTTTAGGCCACACTTTCATCCGGGATGCTCCACGGACCTGGCCTTCCGTCTCCTCCAGGAGCCTCCTCCTAGGCCCCTGACTGCCTGCCACCAGGGTGGGCGGGAGCAGGCGTGGGGGTGTGCGGGCCTCACTGATGGTCGCTCTGTCTGCCCGCAGATCATGAGTGTTTTGCTGTTCATCGAGCACTCCGTGGAGGTGGCCCACGGCAAGGCCTCCTGCAAGGTCTGGCAGAATGGCTACCTCAGGCTCGGTAGGTCCAGGGGACCCGGGAGGCGGAGGGGCCCTGGCAGCAGGTAGACGGGCTGGGGTTTCAGGCCCTGCCCCTTCCCTTCTGAGCCTCAGATCTTTCACCGGCAAAGGGAGATCTGTCCCCACCCAAGTCTCTTGGTGGGAGAGCAGAGAGGCTGGTGCTTCGCGAACCTAACCAGCTCAGGAAGGTGATGGCAGGACTCTCCTGCCTCCCTCTGTCAATGGCTGCCCACCACCCTGGAATAAACTAGAACCTCCCCATGGTGGGATCCAGCCCCAGCGAACCTCTCCGGCTACACCTTGCAGCGTCCCTTTGCTCCCCACTCTGGTGGCGCTGGCCACACCTAGCTCAGCCCCGTCTCAGCTCCTTGGACTCCTGGTCACTCCACTCACAGGCCACCTCCTCAGAAGGCTTCCCCGACCTCGCCCTGGGCCCGGGGGTGGCAGACTCGGGCCACCCTCCCACCCTGCGTCCTGTGTTACCCGAAATGTTCTGTTTGCTGCCTTAGTAGTCCCCAAGACTGAGAACTGCAGGAGGCCAGGGCCTGGGCTTGCTCCTTCGCTGTCATAGCCACCACACCAGTGGCTCCCAAAATGTGGTCCCTGGAACCTGCATGGGGTTCCTGGGGGCACCTCTGGGCTGCTCACTGCTTTCCCTTGCCTTTCAGCCAACCTGATCTCCAGCTTCCTGCTCATCACCATGCTCTTTGTCATCAGCTTGAGTCTGCTGATCGGAGTGGTCAAGGTGAGGGCTTGGTGCGGGGAGGGGACGGGGGTCCGGACCTGGGGCCTGGCAAGGAACCCCAGATGCCCTCCTGCCCCCCTTCTTGTTCACACCCACTGAGCGGGCAGCACTGGCTGCCAACAGGGTGGGAGGTGGGTATTTTGGGAGACTCCCCCCCTCCCCGCCCCTGCACCCTAGAGATCGCCATGCTTCCTGACCGTTTGGAAAGTCTCGTTTCTGTACCAGACCCGTCAGGCTGGAGGCCTTGGTTCCCCGTTAAAATGCACGCTCCATGGGTGGGGCTTGCACACGGATGCTTTGGTTGTACTAGCTGGTGACCCACATGCTCGTAAGCTGCCAATGCAAGCAGGGAGTTTTGACAGGGGAAAGAGAAGGGTCATTTTGAGGCCTGGGGACAGAGGAGAAAGCAGCGGGTTTTGTCATCAGTGAGAGGAACCAGAACAGAGGCGGGGGTGGGGTGGGGTGTAGACGCCTCTGGCTCTGTTTCACCCAGCTAGCAGGAGAGAGAGAGAGAGAGAGGGAGAGAGAGAGAGACTGGGGCTCAGCCTCCTGTGAAGAGGAACCAGTCTGTCCCTCGGCCCCCAGGGGGCAGGAAGCCAGGGCCTCACTACACAGGCACCAGAGCAGGACCCAGCAAGGGCGTCCCGGGGAGCCGGCGGCCCGGGACTCACAGGCCAGCAGCGGTGGGGCAGTGGATGGTTTGGGGCTGCTTTGGAACGCCTCCACTTTGCCTGAACTGCCACCATTCACTCCCTGAGCTAATGCCGCTCTTTCGGAAGCCCGGTACCCCAGGGAGTGATTTTACCCTGGGCAGGGCGGGTCGCGGGGCGCAAGTGGTCCAGCTAGAAAAGTGGATCGGGGCGTCTTGAAGGTTCCGAGATGGAGTCTGGGTTGTTTTGGTGGCCTCCTGAGTGATCTTAGACAGCCACCCGAGAAGCCACAAAACCACCCCTTCTGTCATTTTGTCCCCAACAGCGGGTTCGAATGCACTCATACTGGCCCCGTCAGTTTGAAGGAGAAGGACTTTGGCCTCAGCCTCCCAGGGCCTCTGACCGTGACTGGACCCCCTGGGAGTGGTCACCTAGGGAAGGGTCCCACCATTTAAGCCAGCGCAGACTTTTCCCCACCACCGGACCTTTGTTCGGCCCTTCTGCCTCCTGTCGCCTCCCGTCCCCCTTGTGGTTCTTTCCAGATCTAGCCTCAGTGTCCCCACCTCTAGGAAGTCCTCTCTGATCCCTTCTCATCTGTGAAATGGGCACAAAGCCCTTCCTTGTTGGGTTCTTGAGAGCACATTGAGTCAGACCCTGCCCCTGAAGGCCCTGGGGCACTTATCTCTGTAGATGGGGACTGTGCCCTGTGTCTCCTGGGACATCGAGACGCCTTGCATTCAGGGCCTGGGTCTTACCTTCTCCCCATCCCCAGAATCTCACTCCAGGGTGTGGGTCCACGAGGAACGACCTCAGCTGAGCCAGGAGGGGATGATTTGGGAGAGGGCCATACTACCCGGGGGAGGGAGCTGCCGGTGAGGGAGGGGGGTCCCTGGGGGCATCGGGCCGCACAGGGACACCCTGACCGTGCCGGGCCTGTCTTCCAGAACCGGGAGAAGTACCTGCTGCCCTTCCTGTCCCTGCAAATCATGGACTTCCTCCTCTGCTTGCTCACTCTGCTGGGCTCCTACATCGAGCTGCCCTCCTACCTCAAGTTTGCCTCCCGGAGCAGCAGGGTTGTGAGTACCCAGCCCTGACCCACGTCCCACAACCACCCCCCTTGCCTGGGGGAGGTGGTAGGGGCTCAGGCTGGCGAGGGTGGGAGTCCCCGGGGCCCCTCCCTGGGCGATGAGCCCGAGCCCTGTCGGATCGCCCCAAGCCTCCTCCTCTGGAAAATGCGCCCGTGATGGCACATCGTCAACAGTGTTATGGGCATTCAGGGAGGGAGGTGTATCCGGGGCGCTCAGCGCCTTGCGGGCAATCAAATGCCAGCCACACGTGATGCTATACCACAGGGAAGGGCGCATGGCCATTTCAGTCCCCAGCCCCTGCTCTGTCCCTCCTTTGTGACCTAGCGGAAGGAAGGAGGCTAAAGACAACAATGAGGGCCAATGCCTGTGACGGAGGGTGCTGCTCCCTGACTCGGCGCCCCAAAAGTCACCTTCAGACTTTCCCTAACTGTTGTCCTGGAAGAGACTGAGTTGCTGACCCGGGCTGGGCGGCGGGAGCCCCCCCGGGGCCTGCCACCAGCCCTTGGCGGGAATGTCTGAGAAACGGGTGTCCGTTTCTTTCTGGGTGCTGTGGGCTGGACAGTCGTCAGCATCCTTGGCAGAGTGTTTCTCGGGCTGAGGGAGCACCGTGTGCCCCACAGCCCCGGGACCTCTGGGTTAGGGCCTCACTGCCGGTTTGTTTCCTTCCTCCCACCTTTGCCTTCCCAAGGGCGCCCCCAAGGTCCCCCTGATGACCCTGCAGTTGCTGGATTTCTGCCTGAGCGTCCTGACACTCTGCAGCTCCTACATGGAAGTACCCACCTATCTCAACTTCAAGGCCATGAACCACATGGTGAGTCTGGGCTAGGGGGCGGCGCCCATCACCGGCTCTGCGGCCTGGAGCAAGCTGCTTCCCCTCTCTGTGCCTCGGTGCTCAGGCTGGGCCCCCTTCCTAAGCGGAGCCTGGGAGGAGGACTCTTGGTGGGGGTGATTTCTCGAAGGAGAGCTCTCAGGACGTCGCTTGAAAAGGAGTCAGAGAAGCAGGGGAGGCAAAGGGAGAAGCCGGGAGGACGCGCGACTTTGGGGGCGGCCCCGCTCGATCCCAGAGGGAGCCCTGATGTGTGAATTGCACCGCAGAAATAATAGTCGTTGTCTCTAGCGGTCTGACAAATTATCCCCAAACCTAGTGACGCGGAATGGCTAACCGTTGCTGTCTCACGCTGGGTCCGAGGGAGCAGACCCAGCTGGGTCGTTCACACTCAGGGTCTCTCCTGAGGTTACACCTGAGGTGGGGAGGGGGCCGCGGACGCCAAGGGCTTGACTAGCTCTGGAGGGCCCACTCCCGACACGGCTTACTGGTGTGGCTGGGACGTACCTCCCAGAGCCCTCGCCCGGGAGCCCGTCCTCTGGAGAAGGACATCGGCGTGGCCCCACCGCAGCTGGGGGCCAGGTGCTCCAGCCAGGAAAGAGCCAAGTGGGCGGGCTTGCTGAGCTCGCCTGTCGCCTGGGGCTGATGGTAGGTCGCGCCCCTGGCAGGGGTCGGGCAGGATGATGGCTGTGCCACGCCTGTGTCATTCCTCCACGTGTGGACGCTGGAAGAGTCCCTTGTGGGCAGAGGCGCTGACGTGGCCCCCACATCTCTTGCAGAACTATCTCCCCAGCCAGGAGGGTATGGCTCACAGCCATTTCATCAAGATGATGATCATTTTCTCCATCGCCTTCATCACTGTCCTCATCCTGAAGGTGAGAGGCCCCGCCCCCCAGCTCTGGGAAGCGTGGGGAGCCGCTGCTGCCCTCCCTGCTCTTGGCTCCTTACTCCAGCCCTCCCACACCAGCTCCTTGGACCCCACTTAGGATCCCCGGGGACATCCCATTGAGAGGGAGGGGATCTGTGAAGACCCCCCCCCACCATGTTCAGGTGTCAAGGACTTAACGTGTAACCTGGAGAGAACCCTGATCCAGGGAAGGAGGAGTTGTTCGGTCTGGAATCAGATTCAGAAAGTCTTGGATGTGAGTCCCAGCTCTCCCCTTGCTAGCTGTGTAGCTGGTGTTCGAGCCACTTCTCTCTGGGCCTTGGGTCTCATCTGTGAAAGGGACGTAATTAATATTGCTTTGCCCCGTCACAGTTTTCTGTGATTCAAGCACCAAAATGTAGGTGGGTCCTGAGGTCATGTTACTAGAGGTTGGGTGATGAGAGGGAGGGAGGGGAGTGGTTTTATTCTTCTCGGAGGTGGTCTGGTCCAGAGGATAGAGTCCCGTGTCGGGTCCCTTAGACCTTAGAGTTCTTAGAGAGATAAGAACTCTAGAGACTTCCTAGAGAGACAGGACAGACTGGAGTGTGTCAATAGCAGCATGACCAGGAGGTAAGAAAACTCTGCCATCTGAGGGAGTCAGGGAGACCAGGGCAATTCAGCTGAGAAGAGAGATGAGTCAAGGGAGACATAATCCCTGTCTTCAAATACCCGAAGGACCCTCATGGGGATTCCAGAGGCCAGCGCTGGAACCCGTGTCCCAAAGCCGCGGGGAGGCTGATGTCGACTCGGCAGAAGAAGGGGCTTTAAAGAGGGTTCTTTTCTGACTGTGACAAGATGAGCAGAAAGGAGGCAGTCAACTCACCACCCACCACCGCCCGGGGACCACGTCCGGATATCCGGGTGCATTTCCTTCCCGTCTTTCCGTGTGGGTGGCTGTCACCGGACGTCACTGTCTCCTTCAGTTGGAGGCCCCGAGCAATCTTTGGGGTCACCTAATGCCAGCCTGGAAATGGGACTTCACTCCTTCGAACCTTCCCTCTGAGGGCGAACCCAGCACAAGGGCTTTAGTGAGGTGCAGCGAGAACTTTCCGGAAGGCTTGGGGGAACCAGCGCGGGGGTTGACGTCATACATCAAGGCCACCACACAGCCCTGTCCCCCCCCCCATCTCCCCTCCTCTTCTTTACCCCCTTGGGTGGGAGCTTCCTGAGAGCTCAAGAGAGCTTCCTGAGACGGGACCCACTCTCCTTCCTTGGGGGGTGGTTTAGGGGCAGAGAGAGACCTATTGGCTATTGTTTCTTGAACAGGCCCTTGGGGGCTTCACTCCCCACCTTGGAAAATCCGCCCCCCCTTCTTACATCAACTGCTAAGAGAAAACAGTTGCTGACGTCATCTGCCAGATGTATACATCTGTAGATATAGTTTTTTCTGCTTTTATAAACGCAGGATGCTGTTTTGTAATCTGCTTTAACGAATGACATATCCTAAGCACTTTGGGAGAAAAGGTTTCCCACCACGGGCTCTGTCTCAAGAAGGACGGGGTCGTCTCAGGAGGTGGGGAGTTTTCCAGCTCGGGGGGTGGAGAAGAATGATTTGTAGGACCATTGCCAGGGAGGCTGGAGGGGGACCCAGAAGCCCCCAGAAGCCTCCTTCTGCGCTAGGTCTGTGGGGGCAGTGAAAAGTGTGTGGAACGCTTGGGGCTGGCCGATGAGGCACCCCTCAACCGGAACAAGGGCGTGAGCAGCAGTGGCCGGTTGCTACCTTCTGGGCTGAGCTGGGGCTCCCCGGGGAGTGCCCAGCATCTGTCCCAGGCGTGCTGGGTCAGCGAGAAGAAGGGCCGGCAAAGAGTAGCCTGACCCGGGCCTTTTTCCAGGTCTACATGTTCAAGTGCGTGTGGAGATGCTACAAGTTCATGAAGTACATGAACTCAGCCGAGGAGAGGAGCGGCTCCAAGATGCTCCAGAAGGTGAGCCTGGTGGGGGTGGGGGTGGGGGTCAGGTCCCAGCCCTGCCATACCTTGTGTCATTTGGGGCAAGCCTCTCTCCCTCCCTGGGGTTCAGTTTCTCCACTGTGAGATGATTGGACCAGAAGAAATGGGAAGATCTCTTTTGGCCCTGATAGTCTAGGATGTTATTCATGCATGCATTCAATATTTTCTGCCTCTCACTCTTTGGTGGCCTTATATCCAACCCTGGGGGTGCAGAGAGGACTTAAGATGCCACCCTGTGCTGGGGGAGCATAGAGGAGGTACCTGGTCTCATCTGGGGTATCAGGGAAGACTTCCTGGAAGAGGTGACACTTGACCAAGTCTTAGACTGTCAGTTGATGCAAGTTAGCTGGGAAAGGGGGAGGGGCCTTCTAGGCAGAGGGCTGAGGCGGTCTTAGAAGCAGCTGATTGGAGATGTGACGGGCAGAGCGCAGCTGGTTTAAACGTCTGGTGCCACTTTCCTCCTCTGTAAAACGGGGGTTGTATTAGCCAAGAGTCTGTTGGTCGCCAATGGCAGAAATCAACTCGGTCTGACTCAAGTGATAACAGGGAATTTATTGGCTCCCAGGACTTGAGCGTCCAGTGTAAGCCTGGCTCAGGCTGGCTGAGTTGTGACATCTGGTGAGATCTCATTCTCTCCGTCTCTGGACTGTCCTCTCCTCAGTGTTGGCGACGTTTTCAGGTAGCCTTGTCCTTGTGGTGGCAAAATGGCTGCCAAAATCCCTAGGTTGACATCCCACCCTCTCAGCAACCCCAGCAGAAAGTCCCAGGAGCACGCCTGAAGGACCAGCTTGGGTCGCAAGCCTATCCCCAAACCAGTGATGCTAGCCAAGGGGGAGGAGATTCTACTTTGCGTGGCCGCACCCAGGGCGCATGTCCTTGGATCTAAGGGGTGGGACCAACTCTTCTGAAAGCATGTGGACCGAGAACGTTTTCCCAGGGGAAATGGTGCATGGTTATCAAAACAAGGGGGTTTGAAGCTGAACAGGCAGAGGCCAGTCTGTCCCCTACAGGGATAGACACTGCCCCTGTCTCGTGCATGCAGTGTCAAGCATAGTAAGCACCCAAGGTCCTGGGTGGGCAAGGTGCTGGTCACCGTCATCCATTCTGCCAGAGGTGGGGGTTGGAGTCCCTTGACTCCAGGTTGGCATCTTGGTTCCTTCCGGCCAATCGTCAGCCCTTATCTCTCTGTCGCTCCCAGGTGGTCCTGCCGTCCTATGAGGAAGCCGTGTCTCTGCCATACAAGACCCCGGACGGGGACCCCGCACCACCCCCCTACTCGGAGGTGTGACCCCCGCCAGGCCCAGCCCTGGTGCTGGGAGGGGCGGAGCTGTCTCGCAAGCCGCTTCTTCGCTTTGGTGGCCCCTGCGGCCCCGGGGTGAGCCGCCCGGCTGACTTCAGGACAAACCGGCTTGTGTCCCCCTCGCTGGCCTGCTTGTCCCGTGGGGCCTGGGAGATGCTCACGACTGGGTCAACGCTGTCGGCGGAGTGGCTCCTGGAGTCCCTCAGAAGTTCAGTCCAACGAACCTCGGCTCGTTTCCAGCTTCAGCACTTGTCTCACCTGTTCGTCATTCTAAGTTCGGGGGGTTTGGTTAAACAACTTGCAACTTGACCGCTTCACCACGTGGCTGCCAAATCAAACTACGCCTCCCCGTGCAGGGAGGTGGTTTGTCCAGACGGCAACAGCCATCGCGTTGGCTTTCAGGCCGTTGTCCGTTCACACAACAAACGATGCCGCCCAGTCATCGCCTCTTGGTCCCCCCCCCCCCCCCCCCCCCCCCCCCC